ATATCTAGTGGCTTTCCTGGGTGTATGTGGCTCATTATTGATTATGCTTTTATTTTAGAATTTTAGTTTAAGGGGATGGGGTAAGCCCTTTCACAATTTTAGTTTTGATGGAAGACAGGTATGAGTGAATGAGTAAGAGCATTAGAATGAGTAACAATAAGGAAACTCATGTAGTTCTTCAAGTACAGACTGCAGAAATAAGATCCTTTTATAAATAGAGGAAACCAATAGTTCACAAGAGGAATGCCTTACAAGGTTACTAGGGAGAACTCACAAATATAAATAAATACATATATTTTAATAAAAAAGATGGGTCCCAAATCTGTGGATGAAGGGCTTCCAATTGGCTTCTTTCTAGAACAGTTGTGCTGAACTTGATGCAGGTGGCTTCAGTGTGGCTAAACAGCTTGTGGTCCACCTACCTTCCTGAAGAGAAGGGAGTCAGGTAACAGCTGGCTTCCTTTGCCTCTTCTGTTTTCTTTCTCTTTTCTTTCTTTTTCTTTTGTTTTGTTTTCTTTTCTTTTCTTTTTCTTTTTTTTTTCTTTTCTTTTCTTTTTTTTTTTTGCTATAGGGCACATGCACTTGCCAGAGAGAGCAAGAGAGAAAAAGTGGGAAATAGTTCTCCAGGGGGAATGGCCACACAATGATCCCTTCTCCATTCTCCTCTCTGGATTTTGGTCATGTTTTTTCAAGCCACCTGGTCCAGGACTCGAACCATATAGTAGGCTGTGTGGCATCCCAGCACCTAACTACCACGTCATCTGGTGGCCCCCTTCCTCCTTTCTTGTCTTCTATTTTCTTACTATTTATGTACCCCTATTTTTTTCTGCTTCTCCTTTTTTCTTAAATTCAGGATGACTGTGCAAGTTTCTAATGCCCAACATACTTAATAACGTCCAGTGTCTCCAATTACTGATGAGAGACACTTATAATGAGTTTTTTTAACAGTGTTTTTGGTCCAGAGAGTATGTGCACTGTGTGTGCTCGTGCGCTTTTGTGAGCACACACAGGAGAGAGACAGAGAAGGGCGCAGACAGTGAGAGAAAGCATCCCGAGGGGCACAGAAATGCCGCAATCAATTTTCACTCCATCTCTCCACCCTGACAGGATTTGGGGCATACACACACATGGACCTAGCCTGTTTTTCAAGCTGTTGAGGCCAGGATTTGAATGAAGGCTGGCCATATGGAATTCAGCTCCCTGTGGGCAGTGCTTAACTGCTACCTACAGAGCCAGCCCACTTCAAGGATTTTTAATACAGAAGAATTTAAGGTTGAGAGACTTATTAGAATATAAGTTCACTGAAAACAGGAATTTTCATGTTTTTTGGCTCATTGTTCTATCTCTAGTGTCCAGAACAAGTGGCTGTTCTAAAGAAAATGTTTAATAAGTACTTACTGAATAAGTGATTTAAACATTAGCCTTAGAATTAATTAACTGGTTTTTTTTTTTTTTTAGGTTTTTGCCATAGGGTGCATAAGCTCTCTTGGGGGAGCGGGGAGAGAAGAAATCCCCCCCCCCAGGAGGGATGGCCACACTGCAGTCCTTTTTCCTCAAGTCACCATTTGGGATTTGGGGCACATGTGCACATGTTCCCAGCATGATTTTCAAGCTACTGGGTCTAGGATTTGAACCATCGTAGGCCATGTGGGAATCCAGTGCCACGTGCTGCTGGCCCCTGCTTTAAAATGTTTTAATATCAGTTACTTAGAAAAATTATTTTGGCAAAACATCTTTGGTACTTCCACTGTAGATCAGAAATGTGAGTACAACCCTGATTTTTCCAAAGGGCAGGGAGCTTTTTTAAAATCCTGCTCTCCCTTATTCTCTTCCCTCTGTTACTTTCTCCTTCTAATGTGAGAATCTTTACCACTTGAAGAGACCGAAATTAGTATTGCTAGTTCTAAGGAGGTACAGACCTAAATGGCAGATGTGATTTGGCAGGGTGAGAGGGTAAAGGAAATTCCAAGTTTAAAGACGTAGGGGTAAAACGAGCATTTGAACAAAACATGAAGGTAGTTAGCTAGAGAGCCAGAGCCAGTCGGAAGGACGCGGAAGGTGAGTGGATGTAGGCAGTGGGGAAAGGTCAGATGGTGTTGTAGGATGCTTGGATACAGGAGGAAGCCATTATGAATTATTGATGAGAGTGACAGGACAATGAAGTGAAGTCCATTATTTATTCTATCTAGCTGCTGTTTGTAAAAATGAATTGTGGCTTGAGGTGAGGAAACATTAGAAACAGTGACGCAAGTTAGCAGACTGTTCTGGTAATCCAAGGTGGTTTATCCAGTGATGCCTTTAGCAGAGACCCTGCTTTTTGTCTTCCTTTATCATGTAGGAATGGGTGAGGCAGAGGAAGAGTATTGCACTAGGAAGCAGCAGGCTCGGATTCTGCTCCCTCCTTCTCTACTCTGAATCATGGACACATATTTAATTTTGCCTGTGCGTCAGTTGCCTTAACTGTAAACTGAGGATGATGATGTGAAACCAGGGGTCTATATTAGACCATTTCTTAGAGTCCATTAAAGCCCATTATCCATGTATCAATTATAGATGGTGGGTACAAACAATTAATACCATATTTTGCTTCCTGGTATTAATTTCTACAAGTAGAGTGTAGTTTTGTGTTTGTGTGTGTTTAAGAATTATTTTATTTAACTAGCTAACTTCCTTCTTTCCTTCCCTCCTTCCTTCCCAGAGAGGGACAAAGTTACAGAAAGAGAAAGCTAGAAAGGAAGCCGCCAGACCTGGGACTCAAACCACATCTGGCCATGTGGGAGTCCAGAGTCCTTAACCACCACACCACCTGCTGGCCCCACAACTAGAGTGTTTTAAAAAGAAGAGGGCTCAGTATATTAAATGTTTCAAAATCTGTAACTTAAAGGTTAGCATGATATGTATTGACTATAACATTGAAAAATATGTATTTCTGTTCTCATGTGTGCTATGGTTGGTTATTCTGCTTTCTTAGTTATTATTACAAAAAGAACTGTGCTTGGGACCAGCAGTTGATATGATGGCTGTGTTGCTGGACTCCCACGTAGTCGACCATGGTTCGAGTCCCAGACCTAGCGGCTTAAACTCACACTGTGTGTGTGTGCATGCGTGCCCAAAATCCCAAGAGGAGAATGGAGGAGAAGGGACCGCAGCGTGGCCATCCCCCCAGGGGGTAATTTCTCACTTTCTGTCTCTCTGTCTCTCTTTGTGTTTCTGGCAAGTGCACATGCCCTATAGCAAAAACCTCTCCAAAGAAAGAAAGAAAGAAAGAAAGAAAGAAAGAAAGAAAGAAAGAAAGAAAATAGTAGCCCTCAAGTCGATAAGTTGATGGATAAAAATTCAGCCTGCGATATTTTTAGAGAAGCGTGAATAATGTAAAATTTGTTTTGAGGGGGACCAGCAGGTGACATAATGGTTACATCACTGAACTCCCACGTAGTCGACTGCTCCTGGAACTGGCGGCTTAAACCTCACGTGGGTGTGTGCATGTGTGTCCAAAATCCCAAGAGGAGAATGGAGGAGAAGATATTGTGGTGTGGCCATCCCTCCCAGAGGTGATTTCTCGCTTTATGTTTCTGTCTCTCTGGCAAGCGCACACACACTATAGCAAAAATTTCTCTCAAAAAAATTGTTTTGAGGGGCCAGCAGATGGCGTAATAGTTATGTTGCTGGACTCCCATATAGTCAACTGTGGTTTGAGTCCTGAACCAGGTGGATTAAAACTCACACCAGGTGCATGTGCGTGCCTGCCCAAAATTGCAAGAAGAGAACGAGGAGAAGGGGTTGCAGCGTAGACATCCCCCGGGGATGATTTCTCCCTCTGTTTCTTTAGTGAGCACATGCACCTTATAGTAAAAAATCTCTTTAAAAAATTGTTTTGAAAGTATAATATTTTATAAAGCAATAGTGGAGGGGCCAGATGGTGATGTGGTGGTTAAGGCAGCCAAATCTCACATGGCCCAAAGCATTATTTGAGTTCCAGATGTGGTAGCTTGAAAATCACACCAGGCGTATGTGCATATGTGCCCAAAATCTTAAGAGGAGAATGGAGATTTCAGAGTGGCCATGCCCCTGAGGCATATTTCTTCTCTCCCCCACCCCCTCTCTCTTTCTCTGGTGAGCACAGGTACCCTATATTAATATTAAAAACAAAACAAACCACAAAGCAATAGTACAATAACCCTAATATTTAATGTTATCAGGAAGTCTAATTTCTATCCTTTTTTGGCTACTGACTATACATAATATATTTAACCTCACATACCTTTTATATGTAAAAAGTTTTAATATTAGCAGCTTTCTGGGTTTTCTCTCTCCCCTTCTCTCTGCCCCTTCTCTTTGTTGCTATTTCCCGTTCTGTTTGGGTTTTATTCTTGCCCCACCCCTCCTTGAATCCATCTGGAAAGATGAAGAGGCAGCTGCTATGGTAACTGTGCATTTTGGTTAATGAATAGCAGACTAGATACGTCAAATGCGCAAACTGTGCAGAGTTGTTTGCAGTCGGAGCTGTAGGGGTATGATAATTATTCTTTTCCTCTAAAAGTACTCTTAACGTTGCTGTGGCCTTTAGTTTTCTAACTTACCATTTCTAATATTGTAATGCCGGCGTGAAGTATTCCTCTTCTGCGTATCTGCACAGTATTCCACCCTGCGGTGAGTTTAAGGGAGAGGTGCATGGAGATCAAGAGATTCGATCAGCTGAATGAAGTAGACATTCCTTATACTGATATATAGAAGAACACAGACGGAGTTTTTTACTAAACATTTATTTTTTTTACCTAGAACTTCTCCCCCCACCCCTCCCCCATTGCTTTTGTCCACTAGTGCTCCCTCCGAGTTTCTCTCTGGGGTTAGAACCTGTAAGTAGCATGTTCCTTGAAGGTGTTTCAACTGTAAAGGCCAGCTGCAGCTAGAATATTGCATTCGCCAAACCTTGAAAATTCCTGTGATCTGTGCCATCCTGTCTCATGCTGTCCCATCTCATAGTTGTCCTCTCTCTGCAGTGCTCTATGCCCAGGTCTCTGTGGCTGGGCTGCTCCAGCCTGGCGGACAGCATGCCTTCGCTGCGGTGCCTGTATAACCCAGGGACTGGCGCACTCACAGCTTTCCAGGTACTTGCTCTGTCTCCGTGGGTCGTTTGCGGGCGTTAGTGTGTGTGTAGCTCATTAGTACGTCCTCCTTCTCTCCCAGGCTCTACTTACACTCGCCTTTCTCCTTCATATGGCCTGTATTTCAAATCACCAGTATTCCTTTAATGATTAACTTTTAATGTAGATCCAGACTGATCCACTCCAGAGATATTTTTATCTTGATTGGTTTGCCAAAATTAACATAACACAGCTACTGGTTTTCAGATGTAGTAGAAGTATGCTGGTAAATTTTAAAGTAATCTCCATAAATAGTAATTCAGTGTGTTATCTTTGCTCTGGAACTACATAAAGCCCGTTAATGCCGTTAATCAATTAATTACAAACAGTTGCTTGAGATGTTTTCCTTGTGATTACCAAAAAGACAATATAAAGTGCTCTTTATTCAGAGTGTCTCTTGGTTACTGTACTGCTATGTATATGTATTTCTAAGAAGTGTGTTTTATTTATGTCTTGATTAATGGTTCTACTTTTAAGGCGGAAAGGCCTTTAAGACTTTTGGGTCAGTGTTCAGCTTGAGACAGTCTAGGCGATCTTACATGGGTTGACAGATACTAGTTCTCAGCCTTTCTTGAAGAGTGGAGGCTAGTCCCAGGATATGAGAGGAAACGGTAAAGGGGGAGCGCTGGGGGCCATTACTTTCAGATTAGGGTGCCATATATATTATAGTGTTCTTGACAGTGTGTTAACTAGTTCACCCCAGGTAGTTAGAATTTATGTTTAGCATTTTATATTAATACAAAGCAAATTAGTCTTTGTTTTTTAACAGTTGCTAGTCTTTAATGATACAATTTTTATTGATGATAATGCTAGAGATTTCCATTTTTCCTTTGCAAAATTCAGTATTAAGCTTTGTGTGTACTATGGGTTACAATATAGTAAAGTGGATAGGCTAAAAATTAAATCAGGTCTTAAACTCTTTGTCATTAGTGATATGATTTTTAATAGTGTGTTCATTTTTAAAAATTATTTGTTCTCTTTTTTAATTTAACTTTTTAAAAAATTTGATCAGAGAGGGA